TCTCTCTCTCTCTCTCTCTCTCTCTCTCACACACACACACACACACACACACACACACACACACACACACACACACACACACACACACACAAACCGGAAAAACATAAGTGGCAGTGTATATCCATGGTTGCTATGTCTATCCATAGGCTGAGCAAAATCGGAATGAATCTTGGCTGAGAAAATGGAAATATACACTGCCACTTTTTTCTTTTCGTTTGTGTGTGTGTGTGTGTGTGTGTGTGTGTGTGTGTGTGTGTTACATGCTGCGCCTGCACAGGAGGGCCATTTTCCAGGCCCTGCGTCCCTCAGGCTGAAAAGCCTGAAATTCAGGCTTAAAGCCTGAAAACCAGGGCCTACAGGCCCCGTGACTGTTCAGCCCGGAAGCCTGAAAACAGGGGCCTACAGTCCCTGTGTCGTTTCAGACTAAAAATGGCAATAGTCTTTTTAGCCTGAAACGAAGGGCCATTTTCGGTCGTTCATCAGAACGACCGGCCATGAAACTCAGGCACCGAACCAGGGTTTCGGGAACAGGCTATTCTTAGCCTGTTCCCACGCCAGCCTTAAGCAGCTGCTGCAACGCCAGCCCCTGGCACACTTCGGCATTGGCAAGAGCAGCCTCCTCGGCCTGGCTCGCCCTTCAGGCAGTCAGGAGGCAGGCCGAGGTAGTACATAGGGACTTCTCATGCACTTCACGGGTAGGCAGGAGGCAGTAGTAGTCTTCAGGATTCGGCAGCAGCACTCTGGAGGGAGCGCTGCAGGGTAGTAGTAGCGTTAGCTTTTAGTCTTCAGCGCTGGGTGCAGTAGGTAGCTGTAGTCTCCAGCGTTGGGCGCCATAGCTAGGATAGCACTAGAGAGAGAGAGAGATTGGGTGGAGGCCAGAGGTACTTACCTGCAGCGCCGTTGCTCCAGCTTCGTCTTCGAGGTACCTGCAGCACAGCGCCAACATCACAGGTTAGTATCTGGCTCAAAACAGAGAGAGAGAGAGAGAGTTCTTCTTCTTCCTCTTCTCAGTCCACCATCTCCTTCTCCCCCTCTCATCATCTGACTTCACTGCTTCTGCAGACTACGAGAGAAGAGAGAAAGAGTTTGGTGACATCGGATCCAGACTCGACTTTTGGACTTCAGACATTGCAACGAGGGATTATTTGGGACTTGTGACAAAGACTTGGTGTTGACGACATTCCCATCTCTCTCCCTCCTTTCGTCTGATTCCCTCCTCTTCGTCTGTGTATGTCTGGACCTGGCGCTTTCTTCCTGTGTACAGCGCCAGACTCCTTCACACCCGATGATGGATACGATGTATGTTTGGTCTGCGTTCAAACAATTGATTGGGCTAGTCATTAGCATTCTAGCATTCTGCTTCGCTATCTGATACTATGTGGATGAGGTCAGTCCCGGTCAGGTCAGGCTTTGTATCTAAGTCTTCCCTGCGCTATTCAGCACCATTTTGTATGTATTAGCATGCACATTGCGTTTTGAGATTCTACTTGCACTACATTGTCCATTCGGTCCTTTTCATCACATTGCGGATCCTCGGTTCCTATGTACAAAGCCCAACTGGGCATGTAACAGTTGGTATCGGTGCACAGCACGTGAATCAGGACAACCTGATCTGACACGTGTGTGGAGACCAAGTAGCTGATTAGTCTTTATTGATTGATTAGAGCACACTAGATAGCCCCAAAATCATGATTTTGACCTTACTGCCGAAAATCGGAATTTTTTTTCTTTCCTTGGATTTTGTTTTCTCGTTATTTCTGTTGTAGAAAATCGTAATAGCGTAACATCTGAAATTTCCATTTTTCGTTTTCCTTCAAAAATTTCGAAATTTCGTTGTTGAAAATCGGGAATATCCTTCTTTTCGAAAATTTCGATTTCCTGTTGCATTTCCCATTACTTAGAAATTCGTAATTTCTTCTTTTTCGAATTTCGTTTCTCTGAAAACGGTACGGGAAATCCCTCCTGCAGGTATTATTTTCCAGACTGCGAATACTCTCATCTGAGTAAGTCCGAATATTTTTATTTCTTTTTGGATTTTTTTCCCCGCAGTTCTAGGATTCTGTTAGTCAGTTTTATCAATCATTTGCAGTCTGAAGTCAATTTTTTTTTTCTCTCATTGATCGTTTCGGACTTCAAGGGAGGTTGGGAGACCTACTGAACTTGCAAAACTCGGGATTTTATTATTCCGAATTTTTTTTTGCAAAAATTCAAACTTTTCTTTTTTGATTAGTGGCTCTTTATCTGAGCGATTCTCCCCACCCCCCGTCCCCACCTATGTTGTTGCCCCCTCTGGCCTTACCTTCTCTATCCATCTCCGGGTACCCCCTGCGACGACATTGGTGAGTTGCCACGTCAGCAGGCCACGTTAGCAGACTACGTCAGCAGGGCACGCTTGCAGACCACGTCCGCAGGCCACGTCAGCAGGACACGTCAGCAGGCCACGTCAGCAGGACACGTCAGCAGGCCACGTCAGCCGACAGAGCAGGAAATACCACGTCAGCAGGCCCCTGGCCTGGTATATGTTGTTGCGGTCACAAACAGCTGTCATGGACCAGAGGTCCGGAGAAGCAGACGAGGCCTATCAGGCCCGGATGCAGGCTTGGAGTACCGAAACAAAGAAACGGGCAGATGACGCAGCAGCAGCAGCGAAGAAGAAGGCAGAGGATGCCAAGCAGGCACGTCTGCTGGCACTTGAACAACAGCGCCAGCATGACGAGGCAGCAGCAAGGGCTGCCGATGAAGAAAGAAACCACTGTCGTGAGAAGATATTTAGCGGAGAGCAGACTTTGCTCATAATGGCAGCGGCATGGTGGACCGAGGCCGAGAATGGCAAGTTGGAGGATTGCGAGAACAAGATCGCTCTCCTCCTCTTGCATCTCATAGACCTCCTGGCAACCTGCATTACACAGTAGGAGGATATCCACAGCCTCGACGACTTGCTAGCTCAAGTACAAGGCCGCCTTCAGGAGCTGGAGTAGCGACCGGTTGCCGCCCCCGATGCAAGCTCTTTCAATACCTCTGATCGCCTCGAAGCATTGGAGATGGACGTCGGCTCCCTCAAAGACGGCGTGCAGTTACAGCAAACCGCAACGCAACAGTTGCAACATCGGATCTGTACTACCGCCAATATCTCAAGTTCGGAACCGCTCGAAACAACTTCAAAGTTTGACGGGCAGGAGATCTTCTGCGACTCGACGAAGACAAATCCGGTTCCATGGTTCCGCAAGTTCGAGCTCACGCTGCAGCTACACAACGTCAAAGAACACAAGCACCATGCATACTTGTACTCTCGCTCAGGGGGCGCGTGCCAGACTTGGTTGGACAACCTCTTTACAATGTCCAAGTACGGAGTGGTAGCTAACGACTTGCACACCAAGATCAGTTGGGATGATCTGAAGGCGTCGTGGCACAAGCGGTTCCAAGTTGAGCCGCCCGAGATCAAGGCTATGGACAAGCTCATGGTCTTCGAGCAAGGCACGCTGCCGAGTACCAACTGGATCGCCGAGTACCAACGCTTGACATCAGTCCCAGACATCCAGACGGGCTTCAAAGCCATCCACCACTACTTTATCTCAAGGTCCTGTCCGACATTAAGTAATGCCCTGACTCACGTCGAGGACACCTTGACGACGACGGCGGAACTTTTCGACAAGGCCACGCAGATCATCATTACGAACAAGGAGGCGAATAATTTGCGTTCGTCTGCGGCAGGCCCGAGCAGGGACCAACATCGGCCAAGAGTGGCCGTGGTCGCAGCGGCAATGCCGTTGGACCAAACCAGCGAGGTCGTGTCTGCCCATGAAGGAGACAAACTTGCAGCCGACCGGGAAGGTGGCCGCCCCGGCAGAGGCCGAGGACGCGGCAAGACGAAGACACACACCACATCTAGCCCCGGGCCCGGCGCAGCAGCTCCAGCCCCTTGGTCCCAATACGGCATCTCCGAGCAAGCCTTCAAGGCACGCACGAGATTCCACTATTGCCTATGGTGCAACAATGATCTTCATCAGACACTGGTCTTCCCATTGAAAGGCAAGGGCAAACAGGGAAACTGAGCACCGCCAAGAGTGACTCGACAACACTCTCGGCGCCTCCGGAACCGGTTTCTTCGCGAGTAACCGGCCTTCATTCCAAGGCGCATGCGGAAGTCGATGGTCCTCCTCTTCTACTCTCTTTTGAGGACTATGCTGCCCGGCTCGTTCCTACGCTGGGTACTCAAGCTCAAGGACAAGAAGTGTGTGAGGTTTCTTCTCCGTTCGGCAGCGGCGACATATCGTCTTCAAGTGGCTCCTCACGGGAATCGCCGCGCGAGTTCAACATAGAGGTATTGGACCCGCTCACGTCTGAGGACTTTGCATGGCTTCCTCTCCCGACCACGGGCCGCTTGTCGGGACCGCAATGCGCAGCACTATGCGCTCATCTCCACACTTACTTATCCTTCTATGCACCACCAACTTCGTCGACGGATGACGAAGTCGCGGTGGGGTACATCCTTGCGTATACTACCAAGGTGGCCCGCGAATTTTGCATGCAGCGGTACGATGACAACAACGCACCGCTCATGTATGTCCGCATTCAAGCTGGGCAAGCGCCCTGCAGCGCTTTGCTGGACAGCGGCGCGTCTCGCAATTTCATCAGGCAATCCTTTATGCAAAGGGCTGGCCTTGGCGCACAAGTTCGGAGGAAGGCAAACCCGATGGCGATCAAGTTGGCGGATGGGAAAACGCAGCAACTTCTCGACCGTTACATCGAGGCCGTACCGGTCTATTTCGTGCCTCATGCATGCGAACCGGTGACATTCGATATTCTCGACACGAATTTCGACATCATTCTGGGAATGCCTTGGCTTGCAAGTGCGGATCACACGGTCATTCCACCGGCGGACTCTTGGCGTTCGCGACGCCTTCGGCGCGGAAGTGGCGTGTACTCTACCGCACCCTTCGATTCGGTGCCAAGTGGTGACGGCCAAATCATTCCGAGCGACTTGCGCTTACGAGCAGCCCAAGGAAATCGACCTATGTTTCCTACGGACCGTCGCAGTAGCCGACGCTTCACCCACGGACTTGTCTTCGGACCCTGGGGTGATGCGGTTGCTGGACGAGTTCGCCGACATCTTCGAGTYACCTACCGTGTGGTGCCGGATCGGCCGATCTCTCACGAGATCATTCTTGAGGCCGGTGCCGTGCCGCCGAAAGGTTGCATCTATCGGATGAGCGAGGAGGAGTTTGAGGTCCTCCGCGCACAACTCGACGATTTGTTGGCCAAGGGCTGGATCCGCCCTAGCAGCTCCCCATATGGAGCACCATTTCTCTTCGTCCGGAAGAAGAACAAGGATCTACGATTGTGTATCGACTACCGCAAGCTCAACGCGCAAACCGTCAAGAATGCTGGGCCTCTTCCTCGCCTTGACGATCTTCTTGAGCGATTGGGCGGCGCAAAGTATTTTTCTAAGTTGGATTTGAAATCAGGATATCATCAAATCTCGATCCGGCCGAACGATCGCTACAAATCCGCGTTCAAGACGAGGTACGGGCATTTTGAGTGGGTGGTCATGCCTTTTGGCCTCACCAACGCCCCGACGACCTTTCAAGCGGCAATGACCAATGAGTTTCGTGCAATGTTGGACCGGTTCGTGTTGGTCTACTTAGACGATATTCTCGTCTATAGCCGGTTATTGGAGGATCATCTTGGGCATCTTTGACGAGCGTTGGAGACGCTCCGCCGCGCCAAGTACAAAGCCAACCGCGACAAGTGCGAATTTGTCCGGCAAGAGCTGAAATACTTGGGCCATTTTGTCACACCGGAGGGCATCAGTCCGCTATCGGACAAGATTCAAGCCATCCAAGAGTGGTCGGAGCCTCGGAACGTCACGGATGTCCGCTCGTTCCTTGGTCACGCCGGCTACTATCAGCGTTTCATCAAAGGCTACTCGAAGATCGCGGCCCACTTAACCAAGCTTTAATGCGAGGATCGACCGTTTGACTTCGGAGAGGAGGCGCGGGAGTCATTTTTGGCTTCAAAGCCGCGCTATTGTCCCCGGAGGTCTTGCGGATATACGACCCGTTTTTGCCTAGGTGTGTCACTACGGATGCGTCGAGCTATGGCATTGGTGCAGTCCTCGAGCAACATGATGGTGTGGACTGACACCCGGTCGAGTATTTCAGCAAGAAAGTGCTCGTCGTGCATTCCATTGACGATGCACGCAAGAAGGAGCTTCTTGCCTTCGTCCACACGCTCAAGCGGTGGCGGCACTTCCTCCGTAGTCGAAGCCAATTCCGATGGGTAACGGACAACAATCCGTTGGTCTTTTACAAGACCCAAGACACCGTCAACAGCACCATCGCTCGATGGATGGCTTTCATCGACCAGTTCGACTTCTTTCCCGATCACATTCCCGGGAAGTCGAACCGTTTTGCGGATGCTCTTTCACGGCGTCCGGATCTTTGTACCGCGGTCTACTCAACCTTCGAGATCGACGATGACCTACGGAACAGCTTCATCCGCGGCTACCAAGCCGACCCCGAGTTTCGCGACAAGTACGTGAATTGCTCTCCTAATCCGGCGCATTCTCACTACCGGATCCAAGAGGGGTACTTGCTTGTCCACACGTGGGGAAAGGACCTTCTTTGCGTACCGAGTGACCCTCACTTGCGTACACGGCTTCTTGGCGAGTTCCATGATGCTCTCGCCAACGGACATTTTGGAGTCAATCGCACGATTGGCCGACTTTGCCAGCGATTTTGGTGGCCCGGCCTTCTCGGCGACGTCACGCGCTATTGCCAGTCATGCGAGGTTTGCCGACGCTGCAAATCCCGCAACCATCGTCCGTACGGCGAGTTACGACCATTACCGGTCCCGTTGAGGCGAAGGGAAGCGATTGCCATGGACATTACCGGCCCGTTCCCCAAGCACAAGACCGGAGTGGATGGGATTCTCACGGTGGTCGACCGACTCACCAAGTTCGCCATGTTCTTGCCTTGTCGCTATCATGCCAAGGCACCGGAGTTGGCCGAGGTTTTTTACGCCGGTTGGATTCGAACCAAGGGTTACCCCAAGGAGATCGTCTGCGACCGCGACACCCGGTTCATGTCCGACTTTTGGTTGGCGCTCGTCAAGCGATGGGGCTCATCTCTCAAGCCCTGTTCAACTCACCACCCTCAGACCGATGGCTAAACGGAGAGGGCGCACCAGACCGCACAGGTTCTCCTTCGCACTCTTATTCATCCGGACCAGAACGACATGGTTGAGCGGCTGCCGGATGTCGAGTTGGCCTACAACTCTTCCATCCACCCGGCTATCGGGATATCGCCTTTCGAGTTCGAGCACGGCTCGCCGGTCACTTCACTGTTGGACACTATTACTCCACGAACGGCCGAGAGTGACGACCATCTTCTTTTCTTGCGTCGGATGCAAGAGCTTCTTGTCAAGGCACGCGACGAGATGGCTAAGACGCAGCAGCGCATGAGCCAGCAAGCCAGTCGCCAGCGTCTTCCTTGCCCATTCCGCGTCGGCGACCTCGTGTGGGTTTCCGCAGCGGAATTCAGCCTTGAACAAGACATCTCTCGCAATCTCCTCCCGAAATGGATGGATCCTTGGCCGATCGTAGCGCCCGCTGGGGACGCACCCGAGGGACCTTCCTTCACCATTCAGGTGCCCGCCCACTTTCCCGTCTACCTAGTCTTTCATTGCTCCAAGTTGGCTCTATACACGCCAGCGGAACATGACGATTTTCCCGAGAGACATTCGCAAGGCCCACCCTCTAAGGACGGTTTTCAGGAGGTCGGCGACATCATCTCCCAGCGACGCTACGGCAATAGGCCAACCGAGTATTTAGTGCATTTTGCATACTGCACACACCGAGCTGACCGTTGGTTGACCCGTGCGGAACTTCAAGCAACAGCTCCAGACGTTCTCGCATGCTACGAACACAAGATGCAAGGCAAGGCAGTTTCTTTGGCTCGTCGGCTTCGCCCTCGCCAGGTTCCACCTTCAGATCGCCGGCTTCGCCCTCGCCCCGGCTTGACTTCATAAGGAGGGGGGGGTGTTACATGCTGCGCTTGCACACGAGGGTCATTTTCCAGGCCCTGTGTCCCTCAGGCTGAAAGCCTGGAATTCAAGCTTAAAGCCTGAAAACCAGGGCCTACAGGCGCCGTGAATGTTCAGCCCGAAAGCCTGAAAACAGGGGCCTACAGTCCCTGTGTCGTTTCAGACTAAAAATGGCAATAGCCTTTTTAGCCTGAAACGAAGGGCCATTTTCGGTCGTTCATCAGAACGAACGGCCCTGAAACTCAGGCACCGAACCAGGGTTTCGGGAATTGGCTATTCTTAGCCTGTTCCCACGCCAGCCTCAAGCAGCTGCTGCAATGCCAGCCCCTGGAACACTTCGGCATTGGCAAGAGCAGCCTCCTCGGCCTGGCTCGTCCTTCAGCAGTCAGGAGGCAGGCCGAGGTAGTACATAGGGACTTCCCATGCACTTCACGGGTAGGCAGGAGGCAGTAGTAGTCTTCAGGATTTGGCAGCAGCACTCTGGAGGGAGCGCTGCAGGGTAGTAGTAGCGTTAGCTTTTAGTCTTCAGCGCTGGGCGCAGTAGGTAGTTGTAGTCTCCAGCGTTGGGCGCCATAGCTAGGATAGCACTAGAGAGAGAGAGAGAGAGATTGGGCGGAGGCCAGAGGTACTTACCTGCAACGCCGTTGCTCCAGCTTCGTCTTCGAAGTACCTGCAGCACAGCGCCAATATCACAGGTTAGTATCTGGCTCGAAACAAAGAGAGAGAGTTCTTCTTCTTCCTCTTCTCAGTCCACCATCTCCTTCTCCCCCTCTCATCATCTGACTGCACTGCTTCTGCAGACTACGAGAGAAGAGAGAAAGAGCTTGGTGACATCGGATCCAGACTCGACTTTTGGACTTGAGACATTGCAACGAGGGATTATTTGGGACTTGTGACAAAGACTTGGTGTTGACGACATTCCCATCTCTCTCCCTCCTTTCGTTCGATTCCCTCCTCTTCGTCTGTGCATGTTTGGACCTGGCGCTTTCTTCCTGTGTACAGCGCTAGGCTCCTTCACACCCGGTGATTGATACGATGTATGTTTGGTCTGCGTTCAAACATTGATTGGGCTAATCATTAGCATTCTAGCATTCTGCTTCGCTATCTGATACTATGTGRATGAGGTCAGTCCCGGTCAGGTCAGGTTTTGTATCTAAGTCTTCCCTGCGCTATTCAGAACCATTTTGTATGTATTAGCATGCGCATTGCTTGTTGAGAATCTACTTGCACTACATTGTCCATTCAGTCCTTTTCATCACATTGCGGATCCTCGGTTCCTGTGTACATCGC